CACACACACACACACACACACACACACACACACACACACACACACACACACACACACACACACACACAGAGTAGATCTAAATTTTCAGATCAGAGCATTAGGATTTTTCAGTCATTGTTTGTTTCATTATTATTCAACAAAACATCTTATTTGTTGCTTTGTTTTGTCATTCTTCTGTATGTTTTAAATATATTTATTGTAGTTTTGTACATGTAATGTATTTTCATAAAAGTGAATTACTGTCATTTGTTATGCATGTAAAAACCAAACTATGGGTAGTGGTTGGAAATCAGCTGCGAGCGAGCACATCAGAATGGATGTGTTACTTCTATTGTGTTTAGTAATTGGAGTTTTGTCTGTCACTTTAAGAACATTTGAAATCATTTCAAATATGTCAAACTTATTTGCAGGGTTTGACAGCAACTGCTGTAATGGTGTGACGTCTAATAAGAGCCACAGCTCCTCCCCTCACAGTCATAAGCCCTGCCCCCCGGGCTCTGGCTCCACTCTCCCAGCATCCGACATCAGCCTCAATGGGAGTCGCAGCCAACAGCCGATAACCAGGTATGGAAACAAAGCACTCACACAGCAGTAAAAGCTGGAGGCGTTTATTTGGTTTTGAGTCTTTTTTAACTAGCATATCTTTACAATTTGACTTTTAAAAGATGTAAATTTCATCATGTGACCTTAACTTTTCCTCCATCCCCCCCCCCAAATTATTTTCATCTAAACTAGTTAACAGTAAATTTAGACTTTTAATCAAAATAAGCCAACATCACTTTATAACAGTCATTTATCCATTTTCTTATTCAGAGTTGAACAATTATGAATTCATTATTAAACCATGTAGTGGGACACATTACATCAGTATGCAATATAATAATGTATTTGTTAATTTCCAAATGTTATTGTCATTAGTGAGTCTGTCCTCGTTCTCAGGGGTTCAAGTACTGCTGTTAGGTCAAAGCTGCCGGCGTCTCAGAGGTACACGTAAAGCGTCTGTTGGTCCTGTGAGCCACGTGTCATGGCATCCAAACCACAACCTTTTACTAAGGCTAACCTGACGCCTAGTAATATGAAACTAAACTGTATGTGAAACTAAACAAACTACAGTTTTCACATTCACTCCCCCGCCTGCTTGCTCACAAAATCTTTAAGACAAGAACTATAAAAATCAAATTTTACAAGGGCTTCAAAATATTTAGATGTACTAAAATATTTATCCAGTATTTATTTAACCATTGTTGTTAAACATTATCTGCCCAGATAATGTTCATAGATGGTTCAAACTAGACATAAAAATGAATAAAATGAGTAAGTAATTTGGTTTCCAGCTTTCATTGAGGAGAAATTTCTTCCCTTGAACTTTCTGTGATGTGATTGGATAATTTACCAGATTCAACAATCTATCAGAAACATGTGCCTTTACACTTCAGTTATTTTTATTGATGCTGGTTACTATTTGTTATTTTTGGTTATTGGTTATTTTTAATATTCTATGCTCCACTCAACAGACAGGAGTTGTTTGTTACCTCCTTGTCGAACTAATCTAATGCAGAGGACAGGGCAGTGTAGACTAATGGCGGCACGAAATTCACTTCCACAGTTTTTGAACTTGGGAATAAACCCAACAACTTAGATAGGTCTAGGTCTTAGACGTTTTATGTGATGAGGATGTTGGTCCCTAGGGATAGGAGTTACTTTAAAAAAGTAAAAATGAGCTATTGTGAATCCTATAGATGTTTAATGTAGAGCTGTTAGTATTAATTGTGTTGTTCTGATGTTTATGAGCCTTGTTAGAACTAAAGATGGAAATCGTGTCCGTCCTGTAATGGTTGCATTAATGCTGAAAACTTGCGTAGACAGAAATCACTCAGGAAGCCATAAAAATATCGATAAATAATCAATTTTAAATAGAAGCTGTGCTGGCAGTGATTTTAAATCAGAGCAGTATAATATTAGTGCCTCCAGTGGTGTGTTAATGCATTCACTTGGCAAGCAAAAGGTTGCTGGTTGGATTCCAGCCAAAAGTAGCTTCTACAAATCCAAACAGTATCCACCTGTAGAAGCTGCTGACAGTTTCTTGTGTCTTCTCTCAGTAATGATGTGGATATGGAGGTCGATCACTTCACCAACGGAGTGACAGAATCGTCTTCCAATGGTTTTCTCAACGGCACCTCCAAACACGCCACGGAGCCTGACGACTGTGACGCAGACATGGGTGAGCAGAGCGTGTGGAGACATAAGAAACTTGATCTGAGACTTTGGATGTTGCGTTATAGTTCTAGCAGCTTCTTTCTAGCAGCCTTTTTCTTCTTCAAGATGTCATGCACACATTGTGCGTGTCACGCAGCCTTAAAAACACTTTTCTTTTCATTTTGAATTGACTCTACAGAGGTGGAGTCGGCACAGTCTAAGAGGCAGCTGTGCGGCGGAAGCCAGGCAGCCATCGAGAGAATGATCCATTTTGGCAGGGAGCTCCAGAGCATGAGTGAACACCTCCGCCGTGAGTGCGGCAAGAACTCTGCTAACAAAAAGATGCTCAAGGTAACACAGGAATCTCTGTTATTTACTTGGTTTATATTGTTTGTTTTTGTGGGGTCTGTTCACCTTTTGTGTTTGTATTTCAGGCATTTACAGTTGACTTCAATCATTTAAGCCATTTTCTTCACATAAAAATATGCCTGCCTTCGTACTGTATATTTATAAAAGCTTCAGATGTTATCTGTTTGTACTAGCTCCCAGTAAAATGCCAAAATGAGCCAGGTTCAAATCAAAGGCAGGGTGCTCATTTTCTAAAATTCTGGTCTCATTTAGAGCAAATTGATGGTGAAGGTGTTCGACTTTGGCAGGTACCTACATTGATGATCCTAGCATATGAGCATTCAGTCTGTTTTTCAGTGACATCTCGTTCCAGTTAAACAAATTGTGACAGCAACAATAGTTGCCAGAAAACTGCCTCAGTGGAAGGATTAAAAAGCAAATGTCATAGATGGGATTGAGGTTTTGTCATTTAAAATCCGAGATAACAGGGCTCATTTTCAATCTCTCCAAAAGGATGTCTATACTAATGACCTCAAATGTTCAGTATTAACATTATTTTATTTCATTTTTTTAAGAGGAGAAAGTATAGCTCAAAAACAGATTTTGTGACCTCTGCAGTCAGTCATGATGTAATATATTTGTTTTAAAATGTACAGTCAGTTCAGTTGTCTTAAAGGAACGGGTCAAACTGTGGGAAAATTCTGTTTGAGCTGAAATGCTAACACAAAGAATGTTCAGCTACAGCATGTTGTAACAGGGCAGGGCAGGGATAGCTCAGTAGGTAGAGTGGTGGCCCCATGATCGGAAGGTCGGGGGTTCGATTCCCCTGAACAACTACCCTGAGGTACCCCTGAGCAAGGTACCGTCCCTACACACTGCTCCCCGGGCGCCCAGTGGCTGCCCACTGCTTCACTGAGTGAATGGGTTAAATGCAGAGAGGGATTTTCCCCACGGGGACCAATAAAGTACACTTTCTTTCTTTCTAACAAAGCAGGTGAAATGAAGTGATGGGCTGTGGTGTGATCACTTTCTGCTCTCCCGTCTTCTGCTGCAGGACGCATTCAGCCTGCTGGCCTACTCGGACCCGTGGAACAGCCCAGTCGGATACCAGCTGGACGCCATTCAGAGAGAGCCGGTCTGCTCCACTCTCAACAGTGCAATATTAGGTGGGTTAGCCATGAGCAGTGCATGATCCAGTCTACAGTTTTCAGTTAGCATTTTGGATGTAGGAGGATAAAAGAGATTGATGGGACTGTGGGTAACCCAAATCTCAAAAAGAAGCAAAAAAACTCAGATTGTGATAAATGCTAAAAAACTTTTGCATGTGGTTTGCTGCAGAAATCTTAAGACAGACAGGCAGCATATCTTAGGGACTGCATATTACCAGGACATGTTTAAATCCAGGTGAACTAACCTTAAAGATAAAGGTGTCAGTGCACCTGCTATCCAGCCGAAGGCAGAACTGAGCAGGTATTCTCATTCTGAGTGAGCTGGAAAATGTGACTTGCTTCCAAAACACCAGTGATTTTTTTTTTTTTAAACCATATATCAAATTGTCCTTTGCATGTTGATATGTTGATTCTGATTATCATGTAATGTGATGTTTTTAAGCTCAGAAATTCTTTACAGACATTGTTAAACACAATTTTCCTGCAGATTCTGAAGTTTTTCAGTTCAATAATCTGAAAATAAAGCCATTCAATTAAAATGACTTCCAGATGCTGTATGACTGTCCAACAAGCACTGCACCTACCAATTCCTGATATTACCTGCAGTCACAATTTTCTTTTTTTCCTTTTTCTTTCCAGAGACTCACAACCTGCCCAAGCAGCCTCCCCTGGCCCAGGCCGTGGGTCAGGCCGCCCAATGCCTCGCCATGATGGCACGAACTGGCAGCGGCTCCTGCGCCTTCGCCTCTGTGGACGATTACCTACACTAGCCCCGTGCGCACGCAGACACACACACACACACACACACACACACACACACACACACACACACACACACACACACACACACACTCTCCAAGGGCCTGTCCAGAAATCCTTCTTTCCAACTCCTCAGTCAGTGTAGTCCTATTAGCCGAGGAGGCATTCCTCTGCACGCCGTCATAGAACGTCAACCATCTCACTCGCTTCTGGTTCTGCTTTTGCTGAACGCCGCTGAGGGTCAGAAGACATTTCTGGGCAGATCCTTAGAGTGACACCACCTCCTTTTCCATCATAAATATGAAATTACACCTCCACCTTCGGTTGGCTCCCCATGCGTCTGCCTCCATCTAACTGACAGTAGCTGACTTTAAAAAATAATCGGGGGGGGGGCTGAACTCATGTGGACGCGCCACAGTCCCCGCATTCCTGGGGGAGGAATCAAACCGGGGGTGGACAGACTGCTAAAAAATATCTCTGGTCAAACATAAATGGGGAGGGGAGGGGTGGCGGGGGGGGCAACAATAAGAAAACAGACGAGTGGCCGCCATGGTTGACCCACCATTAACGTGGTCCCTGTAAACCTGGGGCTTACCAGGCAAACACACACAGAAAACACACACAAATAAACACGGAGGCAAGCTGATGCTGATGCTGGGATTGAAAAGTCCACCTCACCGAGGCTTGCTCAAACTCCGGCCAATGCGAACCTTATGGCCTACCCCCCCTCCATAAATCTTCACCCTCTCTGCACCGCCTCCCTCCTGCTACCTTCCACTGACTTCAGGACATCGGCGAAGATATGTGTGACGTACGTGGACTCGGGACTTCAGAGAAGCGAGAGAGAATCTACAGTCTCGACTCAGCGTTCCCTATTTTTAATCTTTTGTTTAGTTTTTGTTTTTCTTCGGCGAAGTGGGCAGACGTGGGGGGGGGGGTTACCTGGCTCTTGTTTTGTTTAGTTTTTCCAGGTTTACAAGGCATGGTGCAGATGACGATGATTATTCTTATTATTATTCTAATTATCAATATATTAATTATTGTTACTTGCATTCACAGTATATTTGTTGAGCGCCAGCGAGAGCAAGTTCCTCCAACTTATTATAATAAAGGTCCCGATTCTACCGATTACCAGTGACGAGCGTGTGTACATGTTAACGTTTAAATATGAATTTAACAAAATAAAATTATATCAATAGAGCGACATATTTAGTTATAGAAATCACAGAAAAAAAACAAAACAGTCCTTTAATGCTTTGTACTGACACCAGTGACCCCTGAAGTGTTCTGGTTGTTCCCAGTTTGTAATATTTTCCTCTTTGGTTGAATCCAGGGTTCCTACACAGGTGAAAGTTGACACAAATTCCAGGCCTGGAAAATTCTGGAAAAAAACAGGTTTTTAGTTCTAAGAACTTGGCTGCAGATTTTACATGTTGTCCATGAAGTCACTACAGCCGAGCTGAGAGCGTCTTCAGACACTTCTGCTGGATTTTCTATGATGACTGCGCTGTGTAGGAGCCCTGCTTTGACCTCTGACTGCATTTTATCTGTTACCCTCCCTCCCTCCTTGATAAACCCTCAGCCACACAAAAGATTTGTCCCAAACATTGTTAATATTTATTTTTGTATCTCTCTATGCTAATCTTTAACCCCCAACAAACTCAGGAGCCAAAATACCCTCTTGTTCATCATTCTTGGTTTAGAAGCAGCTGATTGGCCCCTGTGCCTCTATTGAATGCTGACTCGACTTTTGGTCATTTAAATCAGATGAGAAAAACTGAGCTGGTGTGAAATCGGCCTCTGAGGTAGCTCAGCCATTTAAGCCATTTAAAGTCAAACTTAAATTTCCTGTCTCCTAAAAGAACAAGACAAAAAAACAAAACAAAAAACTGTGTTTTTGTTTTTTTTCCTTGAGTACGTCATAAAGTCAAGACCCCGCCCTTAAAAAAAAAAAAAAAGAAAAAAAAAAAAAGTAAATCCTTCAATTTAAATGTGGCTGACCTCTACTTCAGGGACTTCTTCCCGTGCACCTTTCGACTGCGTTCAGTGTTGCCGCTTCTGTTACATCACTCTGTTGTGCTCTGCATTGTTGATCCCAGATCCCAAACGTCCGGTTCCATCATTCTGACCCCACTTTTATGCTGAAGACCACTGATAATGAGAGCCAAGTCTCTCAGGTTACAGCTCGTGAGAACAAACGGCAGTTTTCAGTGCAGGAGTCCACAGGGTCCACGCACAAAGCCGTGCACGTCACCAGCGTGTTCGTGATCACACGGAATGGATGAACAATGTAAATTGATCCCTCGGAGTGAGACTGTAATGCCTGAGGCAGAACATTTGTATAATTGAAGTGAAATTGTGTGGCATGTGTGCCATCATTCAGCAGCTGGTCGTAGAGTAAATTAGTCAGATTTGATGCCCTGCAACTTCTTACATGTATCAGAAATGTCAGAACAGGACTTCCAACTGATCTCTGTTTCAGGCAACCCTGCAAATGATCCACAGGTGCACAACATAATGACCTTGGATCAGCTACATTTAAATCAGTGATGGTTTTTGTTTTTTATGGCAGAGCCTCAGAACTTATATATATTTATATATATATGCATTAATCTGTATCTTTACCTGAAGATGACCTTATTCATGACCATCTCCAGTCCTCATCCTGTGTTAACTTGGCTCCAACTGTCTTTAATCAAACCAGTACCGTCATCAGTGGGTGCCAAAACCTCACCCCTCTATTTGTATTAATGGAGAGGCTGTTAGTTCAGCTTAAACCATAGAAACAGTAAATACTTTTAACTTGGATAGCAGAAATCTAAATTCTTTTATTTTTCCTAATGATTACCACCAAATTGCCCCCAGAGCTTTTTTTTTTTTTACTCAGCAAAATGCTACCAGGGAGTAAATCTATCCAGTTTTTATTTCTGAACTTCCTGAAAATGCATACAGGTGTTCATTTTTACCCATCACCCCTCAGAGGAGCGCTTTCGTGACCTTGCGGGTTTGTTTTATTAACAGAATAGGGTTTTTTTGTTTGTTTTTGGCCTCTTAGTCTGTAAAGATGTAAAAAGAAAAAAGACTTTAAGAAGAAAAAAATCCAGAATTGTCACCTGCACTGTGGCTTCCACGTTAAACCAAAATGTATCGCAGCTGTGTTTTTTAGGCCTGTGTTCATGCTCGCCACTCGCAGAGAAACAGGAAGGCCGAGGCTTTCGCTTGACACAACATCCATCTTTTCCTCTAGCCCCTGGCCCTCACACCCACCCAGGAATCCAGAGTTGGTATTTTTCCTCACGGTGGAACCAAGCTTTCTGTACTTTGGTTTGTTTTTCTTTGTTTTCTTTTTTTTTTGTTTGTTTGTTTCTTTGGATCGCAAGCAGTCACGGCATCGTTTAGAAAACTTCGTAGACAAAGTGTCTGTTGTCTCTTTCTGAGTAAGGTCTGAAACCTATGCATGCCATAGTAAAGTGGTGGTAAGATCAAGTTAGATGTCTCTTATTTTATTCTTTTTGTTTCTCCTTCTTTTAGCCAGTTCACGGTGTATAAGGAAGATGTCAACCAGTAAGTTGTCCACTGCTGACTGTGTCCATTTGGAGAAAAAAAAATGTGCAATTTGTGTGAGGGTGAAAAGATTTATATTAAAAATGACAAATGATGATAGCACGTGTGTGGATGCTGCATGACACCTGAAGCAGAAGTTTAAATCGAGTTCAGTTTAATTCAAAATGACATGTTCAAAGATTCTTCTTTAACTCTGGGGTTTCTTGCACTTTTACAATAACTGAAACAAAATTCAGTGAATGAAGCCCAATGACCAGCCTATACCATATTAGTAGAACTGGCGACTGCAGGAAGGAAGAACCACCTTTGATCAGACTTGGGGAGGGCCAGCTATCTACCAGCCCACTGGTAGGGGAGGTGAGGGAGAAATTGAAGGCATAGAGAGAAAAAAAAAACAACAAATATTGGAGAGGGAGAGGAAAATAAAGGCATATAAACTCATGGGGAGTGAATACAGGTGAGTGGAGACTGCTCAGTGCATCATGAAAAGTCCCCCAGCAGCATGGAAGGTGCAGGGTTGCCTGACACTTTGAAGGCTAATCTTAAAATAGGGCTTTGCTCTCCCAAACTGGGAGCTGGTTCTACAGGAACAAGATACTTCATCTCATTCTACCTTTAAAAACCACAAGTCAGCCTGCAGTCTGAGAGCAAAGTGCTCTGACAGGATGTGATACTACGAGAGCTTTAATGACAGATCCCAACTTTTCAAGCCTTTGTATCTGAGAAGGATTCAGTGTTTTGGACTGAAAATAGTAAAAAAAATATAACAAAAGCTGTGTATGTACATATTTCATGATAAACTACCCATAAATGTGCATATTCACAGTAAAATGTCCATAGATTGGCCCTATAGTTCAACTTTTATTTTTGTCTTCTAAATATTGTCATTTCATTTTTCAACTCAAGAGAAAAATAGCACTCAAATAATCCTATGTCTGAATTAAGTTTAATTACCAAAGACGCTGTGCTGATACTCAACCACGTCATCTTTTACATTTTTGTTTTTGAATGCAAACGAACACCTGATGAAAGCATCAGGGTTTTTATCTCAAAAATATGAAATAGAAAACAATCAGCATTTATTCATACAGAATTTTTACAGAAAAAAAGAGCAAACATCTGATTTTTGGCCTTTCAGGTTTGAAAACACCTTTAACACAAGTGACTGCAGAAAAACACGAAACACAAGAACTTCACATTAAAGCCTTACAAACTTTGAGACCCAGTAATAAAACCTTTGCTTCTTGGTAAAGCAATGATGAAGAACCTGTTGAAGGACTTTAGTTTGGTAGGATCTCAGTCTTTTGAGTCTCTGTGACAAGTTCAGAGTCTGTATACTGTCCCATTCTGAAGCTTCAACAGTGCTGCCACCCCCTCCTCAGTGATGCTGACGGTTTTGAGTCCTTTTAAACAGCCGTGGGGAGAAGTGTGCTCACGGGCTGCTTGCTTACGTCCCATCAACAGGAGGGAAGCTGCTGTTTGTGGAGCCACCTCTTCTTCAGCTTCTCTGCTTTGGCTTTCTCCTTAGAGGCTGAAAGATCAGACCAATAAGTTTTTTTAAAAAAATGTGACTTATGTCCCCACAGCTTTCCAACTCAAACACCTTTTAGAAAGGACATTGAGAGTAAATATGCCAGTCTGAAGACTGAAAGCTGTGAATGTCGTCGCGGTCTCTGCAGCAGGACGCCCGGGAGAGCGAGCGCCTCTCAGTGAGACGGGACGTCATTGTAGCAAAGCTCAAATTGAGACAGATCATCGTCTTTACAGACTACTGCCACAGAGTGTAGCTTGCAGGTGTTCATTTTAA